GTGCACCCAGTACTTGAGGTGGGGCTGCACCAGTGCAGTGGAGTGGGACAATCTGAGGCGGGGAGGGGACACAGCCAGGACAGCTGACCCTGGCTGCCCCAAGGCATGTCCCCCACCATATGGGACTGTGCTTGGCAGTAAAGTCGGGGCTGGCAGGGTGAGATGATTGCCAGGGCTGCTGTTGCTCAGGGAGTGGCTGGGTACTGGCTGGCTCATGGGGAGCAACTGGGTGTTTTTGTATCACTTGGGATTTTTTTTTTTGTTTGGTTTGGTTTTGTTTTACTTATTAAATTGTCTCTATCTCAACACACAAGTTTTCTCACTTTTACCCTTCTGATTCTCTCCCCCATCCCACTCGGGCGGGAGGTGAGCAAGGGGCTGTGTGGTGCTGAGGTGCCTACCGGGGTATAAAGCTCCACTGGGAACACAGGTACTACTTCCAGTAACACAAAATGGAATTTGTAGCTTTGGTGACTGTGTGCGAGCTGGATGCTGGTAGCAGACACTACATCCCATGCCATTCTCTTTATGTGTAATGTGGAGGAATCAGTTAGAAACATTTCTCTAAAGACATGGTCAAAAATAATGAAGTAGACCTCCTTTATGTCAAGCTGAGAAAAACAAAACAAAATTGTATAGCCAGCTTTAAACTCAGCAGATAATTTTTAAAGTGGATAAAAATATGTTAGCCCCTCATCCTCTGACATGAACATCTCCTAGCAGTCCATTCCTCAGCAAAACCAAGCTTTCTGCATTTTCTAACGCTCTTAATTACTCGTGGTCCTGCAGCCCGGCGTAGGTGATGGAGCTATACATGCCTGGAAGGCAGCGCAGCTCCCCAGGGCACAGCTCCGTGCCTGCTCAGGGGGGAGAATGGGTCGACGCTGCTCCCTCCGGCTGGGTGGGTTTGTGGTGCCCAGCGGGTGAGCAGCGCTGCATGCGGGAGGTTTCCTACTCCTTGCACAGACAAATGCGCCTCGAAAATTTTTTCTGAGTAAAATTGAGGACAAGGAAAGTCCTCTGGGCACTGCCAAAGCTTCCAGCTGAAAAATAACATCATTAACGGTGGTGGTGGGAGGGGGGGAAGTGCCATTATTTCCAGCACCGATTTGCAGGTACCCAGAGCATCCTCGCAGAGGCAGAGAGGTCCCAGGGCCCCAGCAATGACACCCTGAGCCCGAAGTTACCCTTGGGTTTTGTGTAAGGGCATGGGGAAGAGATACACCTTCCAGCTCATTTATTTTCAGGTTTAGATAGGTAATGTGAAAGTCAACTCTAAAGCCAGTTTGTGACACACTTTAGAGATCTGTGTTGAAGAAGTTTTGTTTTTGTTTTTTTAAAAAAAAGTCTTAGGAAGCAACTAATGATCTATGGAGAACTTCTATCACCTGATACTCTGTAAAGACATTGTACTTTGGGCAAATACATCTGCTCTGTCTCAGGAGATGGTGTAAGATCAGAAGAACTACCGGTAGAGACATTTCTCCACGAGACAGTTGCTCGCTCCAAGAAGAACATGGCAGTAGCAAACGGATAAGTGTTTCACCTCGGAGGCTCCTGGTTCCCGCTATTTGGAAATGCAGGTAAGAACGGACGGTCCCAATTGCTGTTTGAGCAAGTCAGCATCCCTCCTCCAGCCCCAGCTGCCCGGCTGTTGGAGCACACGCACACACAACTGGCGTTTGGCTGCTCAGAGAGCAAACGCTGCCTAAGCCACCCCGGCAGCCCGCCAGCTGGAAGCACCCCACGAGCCGCCCGTTGGCCCAGGTGATGAAGCACGATACCACTTTGACCAAGCTTTCACGTACACAAGACTTGTTTGTACTAGAAAAGTGACTTCCACGGTGAACACCACCTCTGGGAGTAAAGGAGCTTCTGCTTATTTTACCCTGAAAAATACAAACAAGTAACTGCTCGTTTGCAGTTTGCCTTAGTAAAAGCTTCATTTTCTTCAGCGTAAGCCAACACCCACGTGTCCATTCCATCCCCTAACTCTAGCTGCTTTTAGTGCAGAAGTTCTACATCCTCAAGAATGACAGACTTGGCTCAACTTGCCAGGCTTTTTTGGTAAGAACCATCTGTCATTTCATTAACGACCTTTCTTCAGGTGGTCAGAAAGCCAACGGCTTTAGCATTTACTGTCTTCATTGGTGGCTGCCACTGTTAATTCAAGTGACAAATTTCTGCCCTTTCTTTAAAACACTGGAAACTTACTGTAACTTCAAATAGCTCCTGCCCCACATAGGATTTCAAGGCAACTTCTGAGATTACCCACTACTTCACAGTTTTTTGCCAGCTTGCCTTCTAGAACCAGCCAGCATTTCTCTTCCTCTATGGAGGCAAACTTCAGAAACGATTTTTGGGAAAGGAGGGGGAAAATAATTTAAAAAAAAAAAAATCCACATCCACAGGAGCTGCGTATTTGTTGTACTGTTATATTCCAGGCTTGTGTGTTTTTACATTTATATAGTTTACATTTTGCTTGACCCATAAATAACACTTGCAAGATTAAGAGGGCCATAGTTTAGAGAGTATTTACATAGCCCCACCATGCATACAGAGCTTTTAATACCTAGTAGACAAAATTAAGCTGTTTCGCACTAAACATTTTTCAGTATTTTTCCACTTAAAACCCCTGACTAAAACACAAGCAATATTTCATCCATAATGCTGCTGTTAAACCCCTAACAAATCTAGTCTGATATTGTAACAAACTTCTTCAAATTCAGGGATATAAAAATATTCAGCTTTTAAAATTTTAACTGTACAATATGTACATTAGTATTTGCACTGTTAAATTATGAATACATTTAAGCCTATGAAATACTACATTATAAATATCAATGTTTTTTGATTTAGAATTGCAGCTAATACATTTTAAAACCTGGATAATGCATTTGAAAAGACACAATCCTGGAGCTTAATCCTTTAAGCCCTTACGAAACTATTTGTTACGTAAGTAGATGCACTGACTTCACAGGGGTTGCGTGCCTGAGCAAAGGACTCCTCTGGCAGTGGCACCTCTCACTGCTGGGGGCTGGGGGCACAGCCTCAAAAACATCACCACTCATTGGCAGCTAAGTCCAGTTCCAGCAGCTGAATTAATATCTTCCTTTAAACAGGCACCAAAAAAAAAAAAAGCCTTACAGAGGGATGGAATTCCTATAGAAAAGAAAAATGCAGAGGGAAACCCATGAAAATTAAATGCATAAACCATTTACCGCTGCTTTAGGATGTGTCAAGGCCTCAAGCACTTCAGTTCTGATTTTTGCCTCCTTCATAGTGGACTTCTTGGAAAAGGATCATTTTCCAAAAAAAAAAAAAAAAAAAAAAAAAAAAAAA